AAAATACAAACATGACCCAGATGTTTTCTGCATCATCTGTGAGTGTTTTACTACATCTAAACTGACAAAAAATTACAGATTTTGTGAAAAAGCTAATTTATTTATTTAAAAACTTGTGCTTATGTAAAGGTCTTTGACATTAAATTGAGTATTTGAACAAATTTTTCATATCCTTTGCAGATTGTCGATTTCATTAAAATCACAACTTTTGACATTTGACTGCTTTTGATATTTTGTTAAGTGCATTAAAGCGGATTGATATATATATATATATATATATATATATATAAATCTTCATTCTTATTTTGTGATAAAACTGTTTTTATGGAGATTTTTTAACTCCGAGTTATAGTTAATGTTTTTTTTGTTTTTTTTTTCAAGAGTTCATGAGTCAAAGAGTCAAAGTTCATGGCTGTTTCCTGACCATTAGAATTAAACAGGTGGTGTTTGCTCTTGAACCTTTGAAGATATGCAAATGAAGTCTGTTCTGATTGATTAACCTTCACATACTGTTGTAGTTCAAACTGTACGATAAATTTGTACTGAATAGGTGCCTATATGCAAATTTGGTTGGTCATATGTTGGTCATAAGTCATTTTTGCAGCTTTATAAATGATTTTTATGTACGTGGGAGAGAATGTTGTGTTATAGAGTACTGTGTTTTTTGAGAAAATTGAATTTTTTTGGCCACTTTTTCCATTACATTTTTTTTCCTAGTTTCAGTCCTATTTCCTGACCCCTGTTTCAGTCTCCCTCAGAGCAAAATGTCAAGATGATGTCTGTCAGTGAAGGAAGGCTGAGATTCAGATGTTTTTTATGTTTTTCTATGCCATTGTTTTTTGCTTCCTTCAAACATCAAAGACTGGCATAAAAGAGTTTTCCAACCTAGTGCAACCCTGTCTCCACTGCACGGCCATTTGTGGATCCTTCACATGTCTGTATAATTTATTTTATTTTATTTTATTATTTTTTTTATTTTATTGTATTGTATTGTATTGTATTGTATTTTTTTTTATTTTTTTTATTTATTTATTTTTTTGCACTTTATCTTGCTGTGATAGAGAGGCCACATTACAAATAATGTGCCACAGTCTGTTCTGATAAGCTGCTCTGTTTTGGTAATGCATTATTTATTTTACATTAAATAAAGATCTGTTCTGGGTTGAATAATAGTTAAGCTCTATTCACAGCATTTGTGGTATAACGTTGATTACCACTGAAAATAATTTCAGTGGGTTTAAAAGAAGAAATGTGAAGCTTGACTTATCTATCTGTCTATCTGTCTATCTGTCTGTCTGTCTGTCTGTCTAGTGCAAAGAAAAGTGAGGCTTGTAAAACATACATTCATTCATTCATTCATTCATTCATTGGTTAGGTCTAACATGTCAAAAAATAATGTTTGTCCTTTTATTAGTGTTATTATTTTTTAAAACTAGTTTTGAATAAAAAAGTACCTCTCATTTTTTTATACCACTAGGTTATTAGGATAATAAATAAATGTATTGATTTTAGTCAATATTTTAAACATATTATTGAAAATTTGTGTTACAACCTTTGCTTTACTCATGAAATAAAATAAAATTATATGAAATGGTAAAAAAGAAATAAATAATAAAAGTTAAAAGGTACTTTTTATTTTTATTGTGTTAATAATTTCTTACCATAAAAATGAATTCAAATTTTTGAATTCACTTTGTAAGTCAGAAAATGACTACATTTTGAAAATGATAAATTATTTTCTGTCTTTATCGACATTATGCCACAAATGCTGTCAATAGCGCTCTAAACTGATACTGAACCCTGAACATTAATTTAAGGTCATGGCTGGCTGGTTCTTCACCACAGGCTAATGGGATCTCAGCCTCCAGCACCGCTGACTCTCACTGGACTCGAACCTCGTCTCCACATGCTCTCTTACACTGCATTAAAATGCAAACTCCCTGTAGGCCCAAAATTACTTCTCTTTGCTGTTTTAATCCTTTGAAAACAGACGAAAGTGTCCAGTGACCGTCTGACCCAGTTCTGGTCCAGGGTGGTGTGGTGTCAGCTATATCATTTCACCTCAGGGTTACTGCCTCCATCTGGCTGCCAGCGAGCAGAGATAGATTAATAAAAGGCAGCGGAGTAGAGACTTTTTCTGCTCTTAACATTAAAGACATTCCTTCAGACTCCAACCTTGTTTTTTTAGTGGTGTTTGGTAAGGCAGGCATGTCTATTATTGTTGCGTATTGGGTTAGGAAAGTATTCAACATAAGTATTCAACTTCTCCACAGCTTGTACTACAGATATACCTAAAATCATGTGGCTTGTGAAGGAAAAGTCAGCATGCTCAGATTTACAATTCTTGTCTTGGAGAGTGATAAAATGGGCAAAATAATGTCATAGCAAGACTTGATACATACTTTTTTCCCCAAAGGAGCATGTGTTCCTAAGTTTAAATATTTAGGAGCATATTAAAAAACTATCCACCTTATTTTTTCCCGTAAGAGTGGGCATTTGTAAATTGAATGTGTCTGGCTTCCGATGTCATTCTTCCAGCTATTTTTTAGCTGAACAGAACAGCTCATTTTGCAAACTGGTGTTTCTTACCATATTATTTTAAAGGTGACATATCATGAAAATCTGACTTTTCCAGGTTTTAAGTGCTATAATCAGGTCCCTGGTGCATCTACCAACCAAGGAAACGTGAAAAAGATTAACCCAATCACTTTGTTTAGGTAAGCCTTTTTCTGCAAGCGTCTGAGAAAACGAGCGTGTCTGATTTCGCTCCCTTGGTGACGTGGCAAAGGGATCTCATTATAATATTACCGCCCCTTAATCTGTAAGTTTACACCCACGGAGCCGTTATTGTGTTTTCGCAAGCATCCCATGGCGAAAGTTTGAGCAAAACATGCTAACTGTTCTGTCATTGGCTGCACAGACGAGCACAGAACACTATTTACAGTCCCAGCCTCAGAGGAGACAAGAGAGCAGTGCATTTATTGATTTATTTACTGTATATTGCTGCTGCCACACAGATCTAAAATAAACATGCGATTTATTTCCCAGCTGTTTACCTTCACAGACATAACTGACTGTATTTTGTAACTCGTGTGTTTTAACGTAAACTTATTTGTGAATGAGAACTTAGTTTAGTACTCACATGCTGTGACAGCCGCTTTCTGTGCATGTGCTTCGGATGTGTGCGCTCAGAAAACCGTAGATGTGGTTTAAAACGCATGATTTCAGCGCGATAAACATGATAATCAGAACCAAAACAGATGTTTTTAGCAGGTACGAGCTGTAATGGCACAGCTCTATTCTGGAAAAGGGGGCGGTGAGCAGCAGCTCATTTGCATTTAAAGAGACAGGCATGAAAAATATTGTGTTTCTGCTTCCACTCAAAATAGGCATTTTCAAAATGATATAATAAATGATCTGTGGAGTATTTTGAGCTGAAACTTCACAGACACATTCTGGGGACACCAGAGACTTATATTACATATTGTAAAAAGGGGCATAATATGTCTCCTTTAATGTATTATCTTAATTATGAACACACTGGTTTGTAGTGCAAACCGTTTGACCGTTTACTACACTTTGTTATTCTTCTCGTTATTTCCCTACAGCGGCTTATAAACTGGAAGTCTCGCACATTACCAGAAAATGGTTTTCTTCTGCGTTGATAATGTGTTTATTATTTTTAATAAAGGGTTACAAGGAAACATTTTATTAGAATACAACAGTACTAATAAGCTAACTGATTATTGAACCGATACTAGTAAAACCTATAGTCTATAACAGTTATATTGAATAATATGTTAAATAATATTCTTAGTCTCTCTTTTCTTTGATGGGACAGCCCAGACAAAAGCAAAAAGTGTTTACATTGAATTGAATGCCAGATGCAATAGCCTATTACATGTCACAATACTGTTTCAGAATACCAATAATAACCAGGAAAAAAAATCAACTTTATGCATAATGGGGAACTTTTAATTGTAAGCAAGCCAGAAATACACTAGTTGTGTATTCTTGTTTTGAAAATGCCAATGCTTTGCTATTGTCAGAATATGCACTATTACAATTATCTTGCATGAATCTTGGCATGAATGCGAGTCCGAAACAGCGCCGAGTTGCATTGTTAATACACGCTCGCTCATATTTATTTATTTATTTTCAATTTACATATCTCACACATTTTGAAAAACTTGCACTATTGAGCCCTGCATAGTGCAGTTATTATCAAACTGTGGTACGTCCTCGAATGCTCTTTCTTCTGTACATATGTACTTAACTGCATAATTTTTTGCCTTTGAGAATCATTACTCTTTAAAAAAATTTATGTCAGATCTGTTTTGCAGGTTATGTTTTGCTGACACATTGAGCTCAAGACAGTAATGTAGGTTCAGTTTCATCCTTCAGTGTCCTTCATTGCCTTTAATTCACAAATACCTTCTCTTCTGTATCTGTTTCATAAGTGCAGGGCCTAAAATTGGGTATTTTTAATTTGAAATATTGTTTTGTGTCTGAATTTCAAGATGGCATGTCTTTGTTCTGTTACTAGCGTTGTTGTCTATTGCTTGCCTGTGGCTGCATGTGTCAGATTGTGTCAGAACAGAGAAGACGTGTCCTGATGTGATCCCCTTGCAGGGTCATGTCCTGACACAATAACTCTCCTATTTTTAGGACACGCTTAATATATTCTCCACTGCACTGAATTATGGAACATTGCCCACAGCTGTAGTGCAGCGTTGCGTTGCATAAACAATGACTCGATGTTCATTATCCGTTATACCATATTTAATTAATTGTTTCCAATTATTTATATTCCATTGTTTTTTTTAGAATACTACATATAAAATATTCCTTCAACTTTACAAATATATATCCAAATATATAGCGTGAGATAGCACCATACTGTCAATTAAATGCATTGTTTGATTTCAGTGTTTAAAGTCTGTCAAAAAGTCTCTAAGTGATCCCATCTATTTTAGTAAAGTTAACATCTGTTTCCTCAGGTCAGTAAGCTGGAAAGGGAGAAGTCTCAGGAGGTCCGTCACGAGCAGCACAAGTCCACGGTGGTGGTGACTGAGTTAAAAGCCAAACTTCATGAGGAGAAACTTCGGGAGCTCCACAGCTTTCGGGAAACACTCCTACGTCAGCACGAGTCCGAACTGGTGCGGGTCATTAAGATCAAAGACGGAGAGATCCAGAGGCTCCAGGCACTCGTCAGTGCCCTCCGAGATGGATCCACCGATAAGGTACCATTGGCATGGAAGTAAAATGAAGTACAAAAACATACCGATATTGAATATAATTGTCATATGTTATCTCTGCCGCCACAGGTGAAGTCTGCGCTGATGGCGGAGGCGCGAGAGGAGTGCAGGAGGACTTTCGAAGGGGAGCGCATGCGACTGCAGCAGGAGATCTCCGAGCTGAAGTTGGTCAAGAGGCAGATGGAGGAGGCGTTAAGCGTGGCCGTTCAAGCCGACAAGATCAAAGCCACCGAGATCCGCAGCGTCTACCATCTCCACCAGGAGGAAATCAACCGCATCAAGAGAGAGTGTGAAAGAGAGATCCGCAGACTGGTGCGTAATACGCTTTAGCACATGCACTATTAATCAATCAATTCATCTGTCAGTTAATGACTCAGTCGGTTGGGTGCTTTGGTGGCAGCTGATAATTAAAGATGTACAGGTTGAACAGAACACTTACCCCAGGTTTCTCCACAGGGACTGTCTGTGCAGTTAATGTGCTGAATGAAAATCTTTTGTTAACTGGCAGAGCTTCACACAGTTTACATGGGTGTTGCCATGATGGAAACTGCAAACGTTCCTATTGGTCAGTCATATAATTTGATGAAAGGAATTATTAATTTGCGTTTATTTAGCAAAAATTCCCTTAATGATTACAACACACTTCTGTGAGAATTCAAATTGCTGTACAAGTTCTATTCAAATTCAAATCAGTTGATTGAAGCCCCGCCCCTTGCTTGTTAAGCCCCGCCTTCTTATTTTATTTTAATCTTTTTTTTTCTTTCTTTTTTTCCTTCCTACTTAGACAAGCTTTATAAGCCACCTCAACTACAGAGTTTAATGCGATGCTTGATTTTCAGTCAGAAGTGTTTATAAAGTGTTTGGCTATTATTCTTGTGTGGGCTGGAAGGAATTATGACACATTTTATCCACATTTTTTCTTTAAATAAATAAATTATGCAGTAAAGTGATTTAAAAACAGCAAACACTGCAAATCAGTATCAAGGAAACAATTATTTACCTTGGAGCAAATGTGGGTGTTTTTACTGATGTTGAAACTGAGTATAATTCCCTGCCATACACTGTGTATTATTTTAAAAAGATTTAGTTAAAGGTTTATACAAGCGGAAAAAATGTTGCTTATGTTCTCTCTGGGTACATTGTCTGGGTACAAATGCTCCAGTACTGCACCTTTGGATAATTTCTGTCAAAATCCATTCAAGATGATCTGAAAACACAAGATTTACAGTACACAGACATGTTTTAGAAAGCGTAAAAGTTGTCTGATATGGAGGGCGGCAACAGTTGCTAAGGTAGTATTGGTCAGTAATGTTTCTAAGGCAGGGCTTAAAGTAAAGATTTTCCCTCCAAATCCCCCACTAAAGCTTCAAAGTTTTATATCAGTTGGTTCACATTTTATATTTAGCCTACGTGTGTATCTTAAAATGGCAGTGTGTGTCCTTGTGTACTACACTTTAAAGTGAAGCTGCTTTCTTCCCTTCAGAGCCTCTCTTGTTCTGGGCTTTTTGCCATCTGTTTTTTTCCTGGAGTATGAAAATATCTCTGCAGTCAGTGGCCGCTGGTATCGATCGCTCTCGTGTGGCTGAGCGATCTACTCTATATCGCTTCAGGACTTACTAAATGTGAGAAATATTGTGGAAAACAGCGTTGAGTCAGGACTATGGATGATATGTGTAGTAGAGATGACCCAAGTGATGGAGAAGATGCAGGATGTTTCACTATTTTTTGAGAAGTATGGATATTTAGGGCTGTGTATATGGTAGATATATTTATAGGTTTACGTTTTTACATGACAGAGCAACAAAACATTGAGTAATGCTTGTTTGCATGTATCTATCTTTTGTTATGAATAATATATATATTTTTTAAATGTGTCATTCAAGTAAATAGAAAATTGTTCAATTCAATTCAATTCAATTGAACAAAATTGTGCCAAAAATTATTTTTTAATTTAATTGATATGTTAGGAGTTGACCGATAGGTGTTTTTCAGGGCCACTGCCGATATCGATTATTACTAATCAAGTGGACTGATAACTGATATTTTGAACTGATATATATGTCTAGTGTAAAAATGAAAATTTATGTCAAAATTAAGAATAACAAGGCTCTGACAAAAACTTTCTTTAAATGATTTTAAAATATCTCGAATTTGTTCAAATTTGCTTTGAAAATGTCAGATACCGATAATCGGTCGACCCCTAATATATATATATATATTTATTTATAGCAATATGTAATTATATAAAGTTGTATTAATATATATATATATATATATATATTCAATTTTATACTAATATTGCTATATATAATAAATCAGTTATGTTGTTATATTGTAGTACTTTTTATATAATATATAGCAGTACTGTAATATACAATCGTATCTTTTTTTTTTATTGCATTTGCCCATTATTTCGAGATTATATAATTACTCATACCTTTTTGAGATTTTGGTAGTACTTCTCACCCCCATAAACATTTATGTCCACTTGTCTGTCCCTAATCTTGTCCCATTCTATTAACTCGTTGTAGAGCTATTGAATAAATGTTACTGGTGTATTATTATCTGGTGAGTTGTGAATGCAGAAGGTCTGTATGCGATTAGAGGCCTGTTTCATCGTTGTGTGTTGAGGATGTATTGATCTTTGGATTATTTATTGTATTGCAGGGCCAGCTGGGGATGTTAATCAGATAATCACGTTTAGCGAGCAGGGTGGCAGGACATGCCAAGGTGAACATGTCATGTGTGTGTGTGTGTGTGTGTGCTGATACAAGTCCACCACTGTCCTTTATGGACAGGACAGACCACCCAACCAAAACAACAAAGCAAGCCCATCATTAGAGATTTTTGCTGAAGCAAGCACTGTTTGTGTTACCAGCTAGAAAGATGCCTCAAGTCATGCAGCTGTTTGAGGAGAGGTCTGATGTTAGTTTTCTAAGCAATCAGACTTTTGATTTTCATCTGGTAGTATAAAAAGAAAAAAATCAGCATGCAAGCAGCCACCTAGTAGAACTCAATAACAACCCAGCATCCACCTAGCAACCTCATAGCAACACATGGATAAATGAAGAGAAGCATTGAACACATGATGGCAGTAAGCTGAAATAATGAGAGAGTAAAGAGAAAGAATGAAATGGCAGAATGATGTATCACACAAGGCGTTTCCTGATTGGTCAGCTGCAGTGATGACATCAGCACCAGCTATAGAAATGATCTGATGGGAGGGAGAGACACTGTGCCTGTGTGATTTTAAATGAAAGAGAGACGTTCGGATCTCGGTTAAATTAAATAATGGGATTTATTCTGGTCTGGGTTGAAGTGAAACATCAATCAAGGTCATTTTCTCATATTATGTGAACGTGGAAGGCCTTGGTGTACGTGCATTTATATGCGTTGTTGGTACACAGTCTGAGAGTGATGTGAGGAACACATTGAATACTGAAATTGTTGGGAGGGCATCTGGTGCAATCCAAAGGGGAATGCTGGACATTAAGTAGCGGGATGTTGTTTTAAATAGTGCTGAGTCTCCAGAAAATGCCTTATTTACATGAGCAGGACTCTTTATTTGTTACACAGATGCAAATGTGAAATAGCCTACTCTTACAAGTCTATTTCCTAATAAAGAAAACTACCTAATATGGGGTGGGTATGTATGTATTTATGTATTTTGCACTTTATAATAATAAAAAGAACATTGCTAGTATCTCAGCATGTAATCCCTTTTTGGGTACACAGCAAATACATTTCAGTTATTGAGTTTTTACACTATTTGAAAGATTTTGTTTTTCATTTATTTTTATTTTGTTTATTTTTATTATTTATTTTTATCCATATGTATTTTTTTATAGATTTTTCATTTATCATTTTTTGGGGGGGATTTATTTACTTATTTGTACTCATATATAACATATACACTGTAAATAAAGTCCACCTATTTCAATTTCAAGCTTTAATTCAGTTGCTGAATTAGAATTTTTAAGTATAATCAACTTGGTTGTGCAAATCATTTGAACTTAAATTACATGAAACTGACTTAAAAATCAAGTTGAAAAAAAAAAAAAAAAAGTTGAAGTTGAAATTGCTCAACATATTTTGATGAGTTAAAGTAATGTGAAAAACATAAGCTGCCATGACTTACTGATCATATAATTTTTACAGTAAACATCCACCTAACCATACCACTCTAGCAAGCTCATAGCAGCATGTTAAAAACATTCTGAATATGGCAAAACTGCCAACCACCCACGGTACTTTAGCAACATGGCAGTCTGTTTTTACATAGGCAAACTTTAGCAACATGGCAGTCTGTTTTTACATAGGCAAACTTTAGCAACATGGCAGTCTGTTTTTACATAGGCAAACTTTAGCAACATGGCAGTCTGTTTTTACATAGGCAAACTTTAGCAACATGGCAGTCTGTTTTTACATAGGCAAACATAAGTCACATTTTTCAACATAGTTTCTCTCTTATCATTTTACACAAGATAGATTTTGTTTATGAGTTTAATAAAGTGTGTAATATCTGTGCCACTAGCATCAGCAGATGGAATGGCAGAACTAATAATGCATGTTAATTTGTAATACTGAGTAGAAAATTACACATCAGCTAAGTCATGGCAATATTTGTTTTAGTGCCTTGGAAACTTGGAGTGAGATTCTCTTCATAGTTCAAATGTGTCAATCCTCTGCATGCAGACTGTAAGTTTATTACGCATGTGTGAGTGTGAATGGGTCGTGTTTAAAGGCTGGGTAAATAATGTTGAGTCCGTGGATAAGAGGCGTAACAGGATTAGTTTCAGAGAAGGAGACGCAGTCTGAAACATGAAAGAGAGACTCAGTCGTCTGAGGCGTTGAGATGTCAATTAGAGACGGGCTCAGACTCACGAGGGAAGGTGGATTACAGCTGTCCCGCCTTTTCTGAGGAGATAGCTGTGCCTCGGCCGTTTGAGGGAGTTCGGATCAGCCTGGTGTATTGTTTAGAGAGGCTTTACATCATTAAATATTCTCAGAAAAAAAAGTGAGTTGTTTTATGTTAACAATAACGCACATTAACACTAGTCCAGAAGTGATCCCATCGACAAAACATATTTGTTGGTGCATGCTCCACAATTATTATGATGATGATTATTATTATTGTAATTATCATTATTATTTTTGTTGTTGTTGTTGTCACATTAATAAAAATATGAATAAATTATATATATATAATTTTTTTTTACACATTTGTCATCCTGTATGAAAGGCCATAAAAACAATTTTATGTGTGTGTGTGTGTGTGTATATATATATATATATATATATATATATATATA